GCTTGGACTGTAGTAGAGTAGAACTTGTTTGTGGGCTTGATCCACCATTATTTTTCAAGTGTTCATTAGGAGTAAAGGTTGTTCGTGCTGAGCGAGGATCAGTCTACTTCATGCTTCCGATGCTACATAGGAATTCCTTTATGATTCAGTTTCCTGATTTAGACAGTTATTGCTGTCATTTGTTTAGTTTGGATTTTCTAGGGGTCCACACAGTATGGATTCCAGAGTTGTATTTTGGAGGATCAGTTGTATCAGAAGAGTTTATTAACTAATGAAAATATATTCTGAGGTTTATTATTAGATTATCATTTTAGTTTCTTGTCAGCATTTTATTTATTCTTCTTTATTCTTTTGTACTTTGTGTTCATTTATTATCAATTTGTTTTGATATCCTCGGGTATTCGGGCATGGGCCTGGCCAACCTGCATTCGGAAATCCAAGGGTTTCACATTTACTTACCTAGGAATGCAAGTGCAATTAAGCAATTTAAGCCTGAAATTAACTAAATTCAACAAGAATTTAACCTAATTAAATGAACTGTGTAGTACAATCCATCTAGTAGAAGCAATATCCATCAAATTGGAATACAAATACAACTAATTAGCCACATGCATAGACATCACAAGAGTCAATTTACAAGGAATTCAAGTGTAAAGTTTGTTTATTCATCAATAACATATAAAACAACATGAGATTAATATGAATAAACAATTGGAAGAATTGATTCATATATTTCAAGCCTATACAATAATTATATACTAAATCCCCAAAAAGTATGAAAAGAAAGAGAAAATAGGTTACATGCTTTCACTCATGGTTGATGGAGTTGAAGACAGAACAATCTCCATCCTTGGATTCATCATCTCTGAGCTTTTCTTCCAAACCCTAGCCTGTTCTTCGTTTCTCCTCCTTCGCGTTTTTCAGAGAGAATCTCGATATATAGAAAATAAAACTTAATAAAAATAAAATAAAACTCTCCCAAACTAATGGGTATTGGTTCCTTTAAATAAACCTTATTGGAGACCAATAAGTTACAAAATAAGCCTAAAACAAGAAAATCCCGTAGCCAATTGAAAATTAATCCCACAATGCAGCCAGGTGCTGGGGGATTGATCCCCCAGGGGCATTTTAGTTCTGTGAATAGTGGGGGATTGATCCCCCAGAGTTGGAATTTCCTTTTACACCTTATTTAGCTCAATTTTGACCCCACACTAATTGGTTTGCTTCTTCATCTTTAGGAACATCATCAAAGGCCCGAGAAAGGTAGAATTGACTGCTTTTGAAGAATAAGCACACTATACGCGCAATGGGCTGCGACCTCTTTTTACTATTTTCTGAACTTTTTCTGAATGTCTTTACTTGACACCAAAAAGGCTTTAGTGAACCAAAATTAGTCCGTTTGAACCGTATTGACCTGAAATTGACAAAAACATAAATTAGAACTAAAACATGAAAATAAGATAGATGCAATGACTAAAATACTCTAGTTTAGGTGCTGAAATGTGCAACATTTAAGCACTTATCACGCCCCCAAACTTAGATATTGCTAGTCCCTAGCAATGAACTACAGTATGAAAATGAAACAAACATATATACAACTATGAACTAATAAAGCAAATAAAGATAACACCACTGTCGTAGGGATCACGGTTGCATTTAGCATATGCAACAAGCCTTTTAAACCCCTAGGTTACCCCTAGTGGACGAGTGAAGTCTCGTGAGGGTTTCCAGACATGGTACCCACAAACATCAAAAAACTCTTTCTTACTTGAGAAACAACGACACATATCAAATAAGTGTTGAAAGTAAACTACTTCAAATATGCAAATTTTTGCCATTTCTAAGTTATTCTCAACATTTCAACATCATATAAGCAATAATGGTCCTCCACACATCAAGCAATTAATCATGCAAATTTAATCAATTATATCATTCTTTTTTAGTGAACCGGCATCAAAATGTGTTGCTATCCTAGCAAATCAAAGTATTGGCATAGCCTTACCCTCAAACTAGCATACAGATATAGTACCAGACATCAAGACATTGAATAAACCTTGTTATTCAATCAAACATTCTTTTTTATTGATTTATTTTTATTTATTTTTTTTATTTTATGTAAGACTATGTGCAATGTCCAAGTTCCTTAAGCTCTCTAATCACCCCATGTAACAAGCGTCGAGCCAACGACTCCCAAACCAGATAGTCTTAGGGCGTTAAGTGTAAAGACATTCCTAAGGGCGTAATGACTCGGAATGGCTAGGCTACGAACTTAAACTAATCATATATCTTACATTCTTTCCTTGTCTTCCTTTTTAATCAGTTGACATGTTGAAAGAATGCAATTGCTTTTTTTTTTTTTTGGTGAGTGCTTTTATTTCTTTTCTTTGCAAGATCATTTTATCAAGAATGAAAGCTTTCAAAGCATACTAGCTCAATTGGGATAAACCAATACAATAATCAACTAGGCATGTACCCCACAAATTGAATGCTAGTGTACACAAGTGCAAGTGTAGAATTTTAGACTCAACTCTCAAAACATTTTCAACCAACCGAATGATATGTACCACAAAAGCAAACATGATGTCAAAATTTGAAATTTACCCCTAAATGGCATCCTAGAGCATACAGGAAATATTAGATTCTAACAACTTGCTTTTCAAAGGCACTATCATTCAAAAGTTTGAAATCATTGCCAAATACATCTCAAATCACATCATGCATTTAAAGCTCAACTTAAAATAGAATGAATCATGATGACCATACCCCTAAACTTAAACTATACATTGTCCTCAATATGCAATGAGAACAATAAAAAATGATAGAAAGAGTATACCGTGATGGCAAAAATTATAAAGTCCAGCAATAATCCAGTAGGAAAGATGTCTCCCCTAAACTTGGATGTAAAAACCTAGCTATATAACCATACTAGCAAACTCATATCAAATATCACATGGGATAAGTGATGAGCGCTGAAAAGTGCGTATTTAAACCCCTTAAGCTTAGACATTCTAGTACCTTTATCTATTTTACTTTACCGTTTTGGATTGATTTCGTATTATTTTCATTTTCAGGCACATATCCCGAAAATAAGCTAACTCAGCCAAATAAGAGCAGAAATGGAACAATTCTGGGATGAATCAAAGAAAGGAGCCAAGTGGAAGCAAAAGAAAGAAAAAGGTAGAAATTAACATCTTCGATCAATCTCAGATCAAAGTTCGATCGATCCAACATGATAGATCTCAGCACTTCAAGATGGATCAGAGCCATGATGACATTTTCAGAGATCTCAAAAGTTCGATCGATTGAACTGTTTTGTCCTTATCCAAATGATTGATCTTATCTAGTTATACCACCCTACCAACCACTTTTGTCCTTTTCCCAAAAATATCTTCAAAATATCTCAGATTTGTCTTTATCCAAAAAGCGCCACCAATAAAGATCGATCCAGCCTAAGTTCGATAGATCTCAGCCATGTTCGATCGATCCAAGTCCAAGGTTCGATCAATCGAACTTCCTCCGGTGTGAAAAAGTTAAATTTCCAGCTCATTGAAAGTTTTCCTTTATCCAATCATTGGGGAATATTTTGTGCACGACCCTAGCTCATTTTGAGTGTCATTTGACCTACCTATATAAGGATAAAGATTGTTTTTTACATGAGAGGACCTCATACCATATCATATCATCTCATACCTTGTAGAACTCTTGGAGAGCAAGCTTAGAGGAGGAGGAGGCTAAAGATACCATTGGAGACTCTTCATCAACCAAGGAGCAAATCTCTACCATGGAGTTAGCCCTTGAGGGTTGGAGAAGCACTACCATGAGTGGCTAGACATCCTCTTGGGGCTAGAGTTAGCCCCAAGTATGCTTTCTACATCTTGATTTTGTGTATTATTGAGGGATTAGTGTTATAATACATGTTTTGACACTTTTATAAAGATAGATCTTGTTTATTCAATGATTTATGTGGTTTAATGCTTCCAATTGATCATTTCATTCTATCCATACGTCTATGTATGCTAGAATAGATGTTCATGTATTTGTCTCTATTTCTTGTGTTATTGATGCATGTCTATGTGTATTAATGCTATAGATTTAGAGATTGTCAAAACATTGTGCTTAAAAGAATGCTCTTTTGATTTTCTAGATGGTCCGTGCTCATTTCTTGATGGATTGTGTCTCTTACTTAGTTTAATTAGTTTAATTTCATGTCATTAGCTTAATTGTAGTGTAGTGGTTGCATAGTTGTTAGATAGGAGGACAATCCATACTTGTTGTTTGATGTTCCATATTTTTGAATGCAAGTAGCATATGTCTCTAACCTTGTGGTGTATCTGGCTTGTGAGTTTAATGAAAGGATTAATGACTTGCTAGATATATTGTGCTTTTCACATGCTATTTAGACAATATATACTTAATTGCTAAATATACTTTTCACATGTTGATTAGATAATGTATGCTTAATTGGCCACTCTTGCTAATTGAATCAACCAAACATACACACACATCAATATTGCAACACACATTTCCCTCATTAGTCACTTGTTAAGGATGTAGAAAAGTATTGCTTGGTGGTGACCGCTAAACCCCAAGATTTCCCTCTCTTACTTACTCCTTATTGCATTCCATTATTTAGTTTAATTTGCTCTTTAGTTTAATCAACCAACCAATTATTTGTTTGATCACTCGACCTATTAACCCTAATAGCGATTCCACAACCAAGTACGACTCCAATCATTTGAAACGATTCCTACTCACCCTAACTATATTTTTAGTGAAGGTAGTAGTGGCTTTTATAAATATAAAACTTGGCACTAGCCTTAATTACACACTCTTAAGCTTATGGTAGGACGACGACCAATAAACAATGCATACAGTTCAAAACAATATATAAAATGATGCAAAAAGTTATGAGATGAGACCCTTGATAAAAAATAAAACATTCATAACCAAGCATAAGGGCATACCGGTAACACATATTTTTGAATTTTTTGTGGTATGGATTTTTTTTTATTTTTTTTCTTTTTTTTTTTATTTTTTTTTTTTAAGAAATAAAGAAAAAGAACATGTATATACAACCTACAAAATAAATAAATAAATAAAATGGACTAAGTTTAACGTCTCTAACAAGACGGAATGCTACTAGGATTTTTTTTTTTTTTTTTTTTTTTGGGTTATTTATTTAAAATAAATAAAGAAAATAGAAAAAAAGAAAGAAAAAAAATGTAGACACCCATAAGTGTAGAAAGCATCCATAAAACACATGAATATGAGCAACAGAAGCCAAAAGTAATCATCCATGTATAAATTTATAGCAAAAGCATCAGTACTAGACATATATGGATGCATATAACCAAAATATATCACGAAAACCCATAAATACAAGTTCACAAAATAGCCAGCTCTAAATCACAAAAATCTGACTATAGCCACCTGAAATCCCCACCACCTAAAATGGAAAAATCTGAATAGCATAAAATAGACAAAAGAAATCATGCATCAGGAGGCAATGTGGAAGAGCATGGGACACTCGATGAAACAATCTCAAGAAGATCCCGTAGCATGCGCGGGGTAGTGGTGTGCTGCTGTATAAGCTCATCATGCTTGACTCGATGCTGTTCCTAAGAGTCAACCAACTCGGTCCTGCCCCACAATGGCATTGAACTCTGTCTGAGTCACCCCCGCATACTCCTCTGCATGTGGTGACACAACCTGTGCTATCTCATAACTAGTACCATCAGCAATTTGCTCCTCGAACCTCCCAACAACGTCCTCAGCCATAGCATTCACATCCTCTCTATCACCTGCTGTCATGCCATCACTTTCTTTCTTAGCACTAGGCATATGAGAAAAGGCTTAAGTTCCACTGTGCTAGCCCAAAAGTCAACCATAGAGCCTCAGAGATTTTATCATTATCAACCATGAAGCACCGAAGGACAAGGCGCTGGGTAATAAGATACGGAAACGGGAGTTTCCATTTTTTCGCATTCGGATCCCCACTCGCCACTAAATGCTTCCAGTATTTATGCATCTAGTTAAAGATGAGAGCTGGAACAAAAAACCATGCTCCAGTGTGGGTAGCATACAATGCTATTAAGAACTCTTGCCCCCGTTGTACCTTATGACCTATTGGATGAACATTCTGTTTCAAAATCTGATCGAAAAATCACATAGCCTTAGGTAATGAGGACTTACTGGCACAATTCTTCTTCTTCTTATCACCATACTTCCCGGCACACATATCCTTAACAATAGAATACACGGTAGTTTTTTCTGGCTACTTGCCAAAACGTAGCTCCCCATTCTCTGCTAGCAAGTTAGTAGGGCACAAATGTGGACACCCCAATGCTTGGGCTATGTCCAAACCCCAATGCTTGGGCTATGTCCAAGACACCAAAGTGAATTCGGACACCATCAATGGTTGTAGCTAATATTTTCGGCGCATCGCTAAACCATTCCATATTCTAATAAAACAGGCGCACAGTACGAGGATATGCAACCTCTGCGGCTAGTCTAAAAAGACAGGACGAATGCCTCCTTCAAATTCTAACACCGCCCATTCAGTCGTGTCATTGTGGCGAAACTTACCTTCAACGTCGAAGGTAGTCTCAAAATCCAGACGTTTGGTACGCCACGTGGCTTTGGAAGTCTCTTAGGAGGGTTTGAAACGTTTGGAAGTCTCTTAGGAGGGTTTAAATGGGAATTAGTTCAGGCTTTGTATTAAAAAGTTTTTAGACTGGCAACACCCACTTTGTAATGAACGGCAGATTCAACCAAGTGCAACAACTCTACTGCAATGACAAACCAAAATCCGAATCAATTAATCCGCAAAATTCAACAACCAAACTTCCCCAATCACCAATTAAAAAACAATTAACCAAATCAAGCACTTACCCCTGCACAATCCAAGTTCAACAACGACCATAACCCAACACCCAATTCGGCCACTGTGAATTTTTTTATATCATCAATTCAATTTTTCTATTTATTTAAATTATCAATGCAATTTTTTTTGTAACAACAACTCAACTATTTTTTTAAAAAAAGAAAATCATCAATGCAAATTTTTTTTTTTTTTGGTAATCATCTATTCAACTCCAAAACAAATCCCAACAATTACAACCAAATAATTAGCAACCCATTTCAAATCATTGCAACATTGCTGTAATTTTTTTTTTTTTTAAAGACCTATAACCTATATTGGAAGGGAACTCAATCAACTACTCAATCTACAATGACCATTGCCAACAACAGCCATGAAACAGCACTTACCCGAATCAATTAATGCACGCAAAGGAGAACGGCGACCCAATTAATAGTGGAATCTGGAACCCAACTCACAAAATCAGCAATTGGGGTTTTTGATAATGGAATCTGGAACCCAATTAACAACCCACAAAATCACTGGAGAAGAACCAGCCGGAATCAGAGAAGAACGAGCCGAAAAAAATAAAGGGCGAAGCACAGTCCAAGTCTTAAACCGTGACCACAAAAAAAAACCCAGCCGGAATCGGACTTATACAAGCACGGCCGGAAGAACCCAGCCAAAATCGCTGGAGAACAGCGAGTCACGACGCCGGAGAAGAACCAGCCGCGACGCTGCTGCTGCCTTTTTATTTTTTTATACTTCTTGTATTGTTTTTTTATACCTGCAATCCGAACAAGCAAAGGAGATCAGCGAAGCCAAAATCGCCGGAGAACAACAGACGCGATCCGGAGAAGAACCCGGCTGCGATCGCTGGAGAAAACCAAATCAAAATCGCCGGAAGGAAACGGCGATTCACATACTCAGAACCCGTCGGCACAGCGAATCACGGCCGACTAACCAACCCAGAAACGGCAACCCAGAAACTGGCAAAAACCGTCGACCAAATCAAAATCTCCGGAGAAAACGGCGATTCGCAAGCTCGCCGGAAAGACCCGCAACCCAGTCAAAATCGCCGGAAAAACAACCAGCCGCGATTGCCGGAGAGACCCAGCCGAATGAGAGAGACCCGAGACTGAGAAAGCATAGCTCAGCCTTTTGGCCAAGAGCTTACCGGAAATTGAGAACTCGGTGACTGTAAGTTGCGCCTGAAATTTCAGAAAAGGCGGCCTAAGGTTGGGATGGGTTTGATTCGGCCGGACCTGGTGATGGTAGTGTGGTGCTCGGTGTTGAGAGATGAGAGATGAAAGGTGATGAGGGAAGAGTGAGGCAGCTTGGGTGATAAGGGTTAGAGAGATTCGACGGTGGAGAGAAGTGAGAGAAATTTGCTTGAGGAATTCGAAGGGAGAAGAGGATTGAAGGTAGGGCACAGTAAAAGGGGGCTCGTCTCCTTTAGTAAGCGATCGATAATTTTAGAGCCAAAATTGCTCCTTTACTGTGTAATGGGAAAGTGGAAAGGGATTGATCCACATGGTTGGGGGAACAATCCACTGGGGCTTTTTATTTTTATTTTTATTTTTATTTTATTTTATTTTATGTTATTCTCTGCCAAAGCTTGAGATTGATCTCCCATTGTGGGTATAGATTTTTTTATTTTTTATTTTTTTTAAATAAAGTAAAATTAAAAAGAAATATATACACAAAAATAAATTATATATAATAATAATAATAAATTAGAATAAAATCAAACACAACTTACATTATCCATTACAATTTATTTATTTATTTATTTATATATATATATATATATATATATATATTTGTTAATAAAGCAAAACTAAAATGAAATATATATACACTGAAATGAAATATATAAAAATAAAAATAAAAATAAAAATAATAATAATAATAATAATAATAATAAATGGAAATAAAATCTAACACCAACCTACACTACCCATTAATTTTTTTTTATTTTGTTATTTATTTTTTTTTTCTTTTTAAATTTCAAAATGCATAAATGTACAAAAGGAAAAAGAAAAGAAAAAAATAATAATAATAAAAAAATAAAATGTAAATTAACATGCAACAAAGGAGAAATCGATACAACTAGTGCTTAACGTCGCTAGAAAGACGTGAGATGCTCTCAATCTTCAAAGTAAATGGAATCCACTAAAAGAGCGAATTCCACGTTTCTTTGAAGAGCTTATGCATCAATGAATAGTTTAAGCCTTTGACCATTAACCTTGAAGGTCCCTTTATCTTTCAGATTTTGAAATTCAACCGCCCCATGAGGTGAGACGGAGATGATCAGATAAGGGCTTTCCCATTTGGTTCGAAGCTTTCCAGGGAAGAATTTGAGCCTAGAGTTGAATAACCAAGCCTTTTGACCAGCCTCAAAGGACTTTTTCACAATATGCTTATCATAAAATGCTTTTGTCCTTACCTTGTAGATTTTTGAGCTATCATAGGCATCATTTCTCAATTCCTCTAGCTCATTGAGTTACAGCAAACGATCCTTTCTAGCCTTATTAAGATCAAAGTTGAGCTTTTTTATTGCCTAAACTGCTTTGTGTTCTAGCTCAAGTGGAAGATGACAAGGTTTCTCATAAACAAGTTTATATGGAGACATGCCTATTGGAGTCTTGTAAGCTGTCTGATAAGCCCACAAAGCATCATTTAATTTCCTTGACCAATCTTTTCGGGTCGGATTGACAGTTTTCTTAAGAATATGGTTGATTTCCCTATTAGATACCTCGACTTGCCCACTTGTTTGTGGATGGTAGGGAGTGGCCACTTTATGTATGACAGAGTATTTCAAAAAGAGTTTCTTCAAAAATTGATTGCAGAAATGTATTCCTCCATCACTTATCATGGCCCTTGGCATACCAAAACGAGCAAAAATATTTGATTTGACGAATGCAATTACCACGGAGTGGTCATTCGTTTTAGTAGCACAAGCCTCAACCCACTTTGACACATAATCAACGAAGTGGTCAGGATATGTATGTTGTAGCTATGCCACGTTCTAAGGGGGCGGTAGCACTTATTTGTTCCATGTGGAGGAGGAAACAAGAGAGGAGGTTACTGTATGTAATACCCCTAATTTTAAAAGGATAGTCTCGGTATTTATTTATTTATTTTTATTGTATTTTTTTTAATTGTTTAATTGATTATTTGACTAATTGTTTATGTGTTTAATTGAATTAAGTGTTACTTGATTAAGTGGCTACTTATCTATGTGTTATTTGTATTTTGTCTAGGTATTATTTGTATTATTTGTTTAATTAGATTATGTGCTTAAATGATGTATTTGATTGATTGTAATTAATTGTAAATTAAATGATTAAATGTTTTATTTTATTTTATTTTATTTTATGGTTAGTGGTAATGGGCTAACTAATTGGGTCCCATGAACTACTTGGATAGGAGGTTGGATGGGTATGGATAATTACCCATGGATAGTTGTATATGTATATATATAGATATATATGTATATACATATATATATAAAGGAAAGTAATTTATTAATATTATAGTAACTTTAGTATTAATAAATAATCTGATGTATATATTTTATATATTTATATAATAAGGATATACATATATTTTATACGTAACATGTTTTAATATTATGGTAACTTTAGTATAAATAAATAATCTGATGTATATATTTTATTTATTTAATGAGGATACAGATAGATTATATACGTAACATGTTTTAAGTTACTTTTTAATATTATGGTAACTTTAGTATAAATAAATAATCTGATATATATATTTTATTTATTTAATGAGGATATAGATAGATTATATACGTAACATGTTTTAAGTTACCTTTTAATATTATGGTAACTTTAGTATTAATAAATAATCTAATGTATATATTTTATTTAATTAATAAGGATATACATAGATTATATACGTAACATATTTTAAGTTACTTTTTTAATATTTTCATTTTTTTATTTTTCTTTATTAAGTTGACTTGGATTGGAAAAAGGAATAGGGTTATTATTTAGGTTATAAATACACAACTATAGGTTGAAAAAGGAGTGAAAATATATCACGTAATATATTCTAGAGAGAGAGAGTTAGAGAGAGAAGGAGAAAGAGGAAGGAATAAGGAGAAAACCCTTTAGAGAGAAGATCAAGGAAGAAGAAGTTTAACTTTCAGTCCGAAAGTTTAAGGCAAGTTCTTCTTCTATCTCTTTCCCTTTGATTCTTGTTTCTATACATGCTTAGGAAATTTCAGGATTTATTAAACACATAAAATTAAATAATTATGCATGTTTAATTGGATTAGAACATAGGTTTTATGAATTTGGTTCATATCTGTTCTTGTGTTATGAATTGATAAATGCATGATTTTGATTTGATTTTCGATGTGAATTTTTACATGTTTAAATTATGTATATTTCATATCTGTAGAATGATGGAACGTAGAAACATGCCTAGGATTCCTGAACATTAAACAGGAACTAGGTTTGGGTTTAAATAAATTTAAATAGACTGAATCATAATGATGCTTGCTATTTGAATGTTTTAAACAAACGAATGAATTTAATCTTTTAATATGTTTTAACAATTGAGATTAAATGTGTAGGATGAATTGGATATGGAGAATGCTTATTTGATGATATAATAAAATATCATCATATGTATAAAATTCAGTTTATGTAAGACATATAATATAGGAAACTTAAATAAATAATAAGTTATTCCTATTTTGTGATAACTTGATATCATATTATCATAGTTATTTCTGGATTGTTTGATGTATTTCCTTAATCGTTACATCAATTGTTGAATTGTGTGATTTAATGCACCGGTATGGGACGGTGGCATTCTAGGAACGGATTAACTTATCAGTTAAGTCCTACTTATTTTATATAAGGGAATGGATTAACTAAAATGTTAAGTCCTACTTATATTCAAGTCAGGTCAGCTGAACAAGTTGAATGACTTATGAATGATTAATTTATTATATAAGGGAATGGATTAACTAAAATGTTAAGTCCTACTTATATTCAAGTCAGGTTAGCTGAACAAGTTGAATGACTTATGGAGGATTAATTTATACCGGATAGGATGGTTACTAGATTATATATATATAAGTATGGTGCCATGATATGAGCTTGAGTCTCAGGATCAGTGGTTAGGGTGCGTATATCGCCAGGGATGTGTAACTAGATATAGTGTAGTTGTGTACCCTGGTAGGTCTAGGTATTCATGCCCACTATATGTGCGTTTTGCATGTTGCCTACTATTCAGGTTGAGACAACCCTATAATTTAGTGAGGTTCCTTTAGTGTGTGTGTATATATATATATATATAGGGACTACTAGTTACTGTTAGATTGACTAGGATGTATACGTGTATTGGATCTCTGCTTGGACTGTAGTAGAGTAGAACTTGTTTGTGGGCCTGACCCACCATTATTTTTCAGGTGTTCGTCAGGAGTAGAGGTTGTTCGTGCTGAGTAGGGATCAGTCTACTTCGTTCTTCCGATGCTATATAGGAGTTCCTTTATGATTCAGTTTCCTGATTTAGACAGATATTGCTGTCATTTGTTTAGTTTGGATTTTCTAGGGGTCCACACAGTATGGATTTCCGAGTTGTATTTTGGAGGATCAATTGTATCAGAAGAGTTTATTAATTAATGGAAATATATTCTGAGGTTTATTATTAGATTATCATTTTAGTTTCTTGTCAGCATTTTATTTATTCTTCTTTATTCTTTTATACTCTGTGTTTGTTTATTATCAATTTGTTTTGATATCCTCGGGTATTCGGGCGTGGGCCTGGCCAACCCGCATTCGGAAATCCGGGGGGTATCACACTGTATCATTGAATTGTATACCAATGGTACAGGACTTTTCAGATGTATTTTAGGAGATTCCAGGGTTGCCACCTAGTCGGGAGATCGATTTTGTTATTGACTTAGCTCCAGGCACTACGCCTATTGCTAGGACACCATATAACATGGCACTAGTGGAGATGAGGGGAACTGAGAGGTCAGATTCAGCAATGACTCAACCAGGGTTTTATCCGTAGGAGTACTTTACCCTGGGGAGCACCAGTTATATGCCGAGTTCGAGAAGTGTGAATTTTGGAAACAGGAAGTGAAATTTCTGGGTCACGTGGTGTCAGAAAAGGGGGATAACAGTAGATCTGTCCAAAGTTTCAGTAGTGGTTGAGTGGGGACAGCCTATTTCACCTATCGAGATTCGGAGTTTCCTCGGTTTAACAGGATATTATCATCGGTTTATCCAGGGGTGTTCCAAGATAGCGGGACCACTCACTCATCTAACTAAAAAGGGTGTACAGTTTATGTGGGATGAACATTGTTAGAGAGCTTTTGAGGAGTTCAAAAGGAAGTTGACTTCTGCACCGGTTCTGGCTACTCTACAGAGCGGGATAGAGTATCTTGTCTACACAGATGCTTCTTTGTAGGGACTTGGATGTGATTTGATGTAGGAGGAACGACCGAGTTCTTATAGATCTCGGAAGCTTCCGCCTCATAAGATTAATTATCCAACACATGATTTGGAGTTGGCAGCAGTGGTCTTTGCCTTACGTATTTAGAGGCAATACCTGTTAGATGAGTCCTTCAGATTGTTTA